TCAATGCTAAGATCCTCAGAATGGAGAGAGTACTTCTATACTGATAGCCTCTCGAAAGCTCTAGACATCTTTTACTATAACTCCAACACATGCTTAGATGCTGTCATCCCACTTCAAACACTAAAGTTTTCCCCACATAGAAAGTCATTCATAAAGCCAAAGGATCGTAGGAAACTGAAGAGACTGTCAACAAGTTACTTCAGACGACACGACTTTAGTACACTAGGGTCAATACTTAGTACTCTTAGCTCCATCTCGCAAGCTCATAACTTGCGTATGAGAAATGAAGAATGCACCGCACTAGCCAGCACCACCAGAGTAGGTGCTCTCACAGAAATCCTAAAGAAACGAATGAATCGCCAAAGCCATAAAATTTCTCTCCTTATAAGCAAGGGTAAACTATACAGCAACCATGCAGACATGTGTGAACTGTTTAACGAGACGTTTGCAGCTAACTACCTTAAGCCCACAAGTCCACTTCTCGGTTTACAATCTACAATAGAACTCCCTTCATCTTCAACGCTGAAACAAATCAGTACAGTTCATTTCACTTATTCTAATATTAACCAAGCCATTAATACTCTTAAAAGCTCTAGTAGTGCCGGTTTTGACGGTATACCATCGTATCTTTATAAACACGGTGGTTCTGACATTTCCTTTTTATTACTTAAGATCTTTACAATGTCCCTAGAAAGCCAAACCTATCCAGATAAATGGAAAACCACATTTATAGTACCCAAACACAAATCCGGATCAAAAACTGAAGTCAACAACTATAGGCCAATCAATATTACACCCATAGTATCTAGAATCATTGAAAGAATAGTTAAAGATGATATTCTCAAACATATGCTCAGCTGCAATATTCTAAGTCCCAACCAACATGGATTCCTAAAATCCAGATCATGCATGACATGTCACCTTGACTTCTTCAACTATATAACTAGCAGCCGAGACAAACAACAACTAGTACTAGTCATCTACTTTGACATATCCAAAGCCTTTGACCGCGTTGACCATTTGCTTCTAATAAATAAGCTGAACTCCTTAGGAATACGTAACCCATTATTAGGATGGATTGAATCATTCCTTAACAATAGGTCCCAAGTAGTTAGACTGGGGTCTGTAAATTCTAAGCCTAGTCCAGTCACTTCTGGAGTAGTTCAAGGTAGCGTCTTAGGCCCCCTCCTATTCACTCTATATGTCAACGACATATGCAGCTGTTTCTCACTTGGCAAACCATTCATCTTTGCAGATGATCTTAAAGTAGCTTACACATTCCACTGTGATGACTTGGGGTACTTTCAGAAAGCTGTTCAGGAAGAACTAGATCGAGTAACTGCATGGTCCTCCACATGGAACCTAAAATTCAACCTTAAGAAATGTGGTTGGATCTGTTTCGGTGCACCCTCAATAAATATCAAACTGGTACTTGAATCTATTGACTTGCCTAAACTCCAAAGTGTTGTTGACCTAGGACTCAGGTACTCTAGTGACTTGACATTTTCTGAGCAAGTGGCGACACAGACGCGTAAATCGAGGATGCTCTTAGGATGCATACTCAGGAATTTCCACAACTACGAAGCGAAACTATTATTATATAAAACTTGTGTCAGACCACTACTTGAATATTGTCCATTTATTCTCAGCAGCACTCGCGTAAGTGACAAACTTAAAATAGAAAGTGTCCAACGATACTTCACGTCTAAACTACTAGGATTTGACTGCGAAAAGGACTACACATCAAGGTGTATAACTCTAGGTATCGACCCACTCTGGATGAGACGACTCAGCATTAACCTGACATTCTTCTTTAAAGTCTTGCATAAAATATCATTCTCAGACAGCAAGGAGATACAGTTCTCACCGGAAGGCTCTTACAACCTTCGTAACCAAACGTGCACAGTATCTAGGAAAAGCTGTAAGACAGCACTCCGTGCAAACTTCTTCATAGTCATGTACTCTAAGATCTGGAACAGTTTACCCCTAGAAATAAGGACCTGTCACTCTATTATAACCTTCAAACGCTTGCTATATAAACTGTTTCATCCCAATGACTATGCCAATCACACCGCACCACTTATTTCTAAAACGCATGAGCTATTAGAACACTATAACGCCTAGACTCATTACTAAATATTACGACACTAAATAAACTCTAAGACTTCGCAATAACACATGAAAAAACAACTAGATTATAGGTAATGTTTACTATACAATGATATACATTTATAAACATTTATATACATAAAATATTAATGTTCTGTTCATGTTTACATACTTTCTCTTTCTGGTATTATATCCTGAGCCTGCACTTCTATATATCTCCTGGTCGAGGTCGAACAACCCAACATTTAAACTGAAATGACCATTTAAGTAAATTCAAACTCAAATTCCATGAACGATCCGATGCTACCATTTGAAAACGCTGGCCAACATTCTGTACAAGGAGTATTCTTGATCTGAAATAAAGAAGCAACTGGTTTTCAAACAGTTTTCAATGTATTACTCAACTTACATGTACAGTCTGCCATGCTGACACAAATGGCGCCAATGGATAGTTCTAGAATCGACCTCGGCCCCATTGGATGCAGTAAAACAATCCAACATGACCTAATTTAGTTTTCGTATCCACAATCAAATTTATTTCCTATTATAAAATTACGATTAGACTGCTGAAAAAATGGAATAAATATATCAATGATCTCAACATTATACATCAATGAACATTAACTCAAGGATGCTGTTCACAACAAAGTTATATAGGAGAATTGACTTCAAGCTTTATTTTTCCCAGATATTTGTATTACATTCATCTGATGTCTGGGTTTTTGTTAATGCGAAGACAATATTTCTATATCTCTTTATGTGTTACACAGACAGACTATTTTGCAGACTGTAATGTCAGAAAGAACAAACTGTAAATTCAACATACATCGAAACATGTGTAATTTATATAATAACTTATCCATGCCTGTACAATTGGTATGTTCCTGCATAAACAGGAATAAAATATATATATCTGGAAATATGATGGATTAAACTATAATGCTGTTGTTGGGGCAATTGCTAGGTTTTTATCTGTCTGACTACCTATGACCCGTTCAGGGATATATTTTCACGGAATATGATCACTCAGAGCCTTAAAACAGTGAAATTCTGAGTCCCCTGGAAGCTAGCGTCAGTAAAGCAGTGAACGAGCTTACCGAAGTCTTGTGTTTCAGTCCTGAAATTGATTGATTGGTTAGCTGGCAAAGTACATTTACGATGACATGTTCAGAGGATGCTGTAGGAAGACGATATGTGGTTTGCGTTGAAGAAGTATTAATTTATGATACTTCAGGATTGTAATTTATAACATAACTGATTGTGCCTGTAGAAATGGCATACATTTCTTGT